CAAGCTTACGCATTCAACGGCACAAACCTCAACTCACTGTAAGTCCATACTGTAAACAACCAACACATTAGGCTATATTATACTCTTTACATTTGCCGATTTAAGATATGTTTTTCTTTCATCTTAAAAACTGACTGTACTGTACCCTCATATCAACATTATGTAAGACTAAACAGAGATTTGGTGCCATATTGTTGACTTTCTGAAGAAACTCTGATATGCGTGGGCTGTTTACAATATTTAAATATGGCTTATCTATCACAGTGTCAAGCTAAAGGGGAAATAAAAGTTTTGGGTCATTTAAGAAATTCAAAACTTGGGTAATAAGTCATGAGAACGATGTGAAAATGGAGAATGTTTTTATCTATTTTGCAGGATTTTGAGAGACAATAAGTTTCTAGCTAAAATAGATCATGATGCTTTTGAAGGAGCCTCTGGACCAACTACACTGTAAGTTAAATTGTATTACTTTAAATCATCTTTTCTCACTTGGTTCACTGCAACTATGAGCCTTAGGAGGGGTAGATCCTGGGCAATATTTGATGCTAAGGTTCAGACATGGACATTCTCATTCATTCATTCTCATACTAGTAATCGTATAAAAAGAAGTTTAGTTCATCATAATACAATAATTACCATTAGTGAATACGTGTTTGGACTGTTTAATCTTATATTTCTATTCTTAAAAGGAGGAATACAATTTTGTTCCTGGATCAAACTGACAGTCTTAAGAAACAGAAAGTATTTATGAGAAAACACATTGTAAATCTATACTTGCTCAGACCATAGTTAAGGCCGACAGTTTTGAATTGGGTCATTGCAGTAAGATTAATATTCATAACAGTGTTTATCATTCTATTGTATAAACACTGAGAGGTGACAGGCTGTCTGTGTAAACAACCAACAAACCACACGGGGCACTGAATACTGATTAGTGAACAAATAGCCCCACGTTACCGCCTCTTGCAAGGTCTTTGATTGGACCAGAGTTCTTTTAGTTTTGAAATTGTGACCTCACATGACTGACATTTATAATAACAATGGAAAAGTGTGAACTCTTTTGGTGGAGGTATTTATTAACACCTGTCCCTGTTGTCCCAAAAGTGCAAACATTTGGAAATACTTTCAAGCAGAATGTAGCAACATAATAAAAAATATTCTACATGGTACCATTGCTGGAGTCTAGTTGATGTAAAAAATACAGGCTTTTTACCATTTGGATGATAAATATTAGACCTTAGCTAAACTTGTAAATGTCAGTAATTACATCCACTAACTGTTGCGTTCCTCCTGGATGTGTTAAATATGAAAACACAGTAAATGAAGTCTTGGCTCAGACTCCAGAGCGCCACAAACCAGAAGCAAAATTCATCTGAAACAGCATTTCTAACCAGCAGCAATTAAAACGGCAAATGGCGGTTTCTTCAGTGGTGGGAACGCTGCATTTATGACTGTAAAAGTTTAAATCACAATCTAGTGCACACCAGTGTAGTTTTAGAGGCTCACAGCATTCCAATCCCCCAGTTCAAAACAACATTTTTAAATGGTAAGTTTCTCTAAAGTGTATATTGGCAAAGTGGCTAGCATAAAGCATAAATGTGCAGTATTAAAGGGCTTATATTACACAAAATTGACTCTTGTGAGCTTTTATCCATGTGATAATGTTGTTTTATACTCAAAAACATACCTGGAGTTGTGTTTTATTTCATTCACCCATGTTTGAGTAACCCTTTATTATTAGTTTGTTTACATCTCCAAAGTTCAGAATGTTCACTTCCACCTTGTGATGTTTTTACCTTTAGTTAATTTGAGACTAGCAAATCCAGGGCTGGAATTATCCAATCCAATTATTCTAGTGAAGGTGTATGGAGTTTAAAAACACAGTGGACCAGTTCCTGTACTACCACAGTGTTTTCAGCTTGAGAGAACTCAGCCTAAGTTTGCAAGGTTTGTGTGCTAAAATGTGTGAATGAAACAAAACACAACTCCAGGAAAATAGTTTAAAATAGGACCAAATTGATCCATGATAGGAAGGGTGAGTGTTTGTTGTTATGTGTTTGTGTCACTGTTGTCAAAGGTGTTGCCCACTTGAGGCCCATAGATGCAGGGATTGGCAGAGGTTTTGTGTACCCCAAAAAGTTCTACTTGGTGTCTCATCAATCTTTTTTGTAGTCCCTAATCTGGTCACTAGAGGGAGACAAATCACAAAAACAAATAGATTGCAGATAGATTGCAGTAATTGCTCATTTTAGGCACTTACACTTTTCACTTCTCTTCTATTTCAGTGATGTGTCCTCCACTTCTTTGATCACCCTCCCACACAGAGGCCTTAAGCAGATGAAAGAGCTCAGAGCCACTTCAGCCTACGCCCTTAAAACTCTCCCACCTTTAAAGGGTCTGTCCGAGCTCCTGCAGACCGCCGAGCTCACCTACCCCTCCCACTGCTGTGCCTTCCACACCTGGCGTCGCAAACACAGGTATGATGCGCCCCAGATTTGACTGATTCACACCAATCTCTATGAATGTGCAGCATCAGTGAATTTGTTGTTTGTTTTTTTTATTTTGTTTTTTTCTATTCAAAGAGAAAGCCTCTTCAAAAACCTGACCAAGCTCTGTGATCTCATTGAAATGGACATGTAAGTTATTTGATCTTCCCTTATGATTCTAAGTCATTATATGTAGATATGGTCCAATAGGTCAGTGCAATGAGTCACTTTTTAGAAATTGTGATTACAAATCCAATCCAATCAATTATTTAAAAAAATAAAAGTTGTAACCAGGAGCAAAGCTAATGGTTTGATATTGCACCATTCATATCTTCTGGGGGAGGGTCTGCCACCTGCTTTTTTCCTAAAAAGTTCCAAATAATGTTTTTTTTGTTTTATTTGTTTGTTTGTTATTTAAGATAGAATAATAAATAATGTTAAATAGATAATAATAGTATAAGGCCACATTATAGAATGTTCCAGCCAAGACAATAACTTCAACATGGAAACATGGTGGCCTACCTTTCTCCAGAATCACAAAATGCTGCAGATGTCCTCTACAGATTAACTTTTGAAGGGTATAAATGCATAAGATTAAGTTCTTCCAAATAATAGTGCTTAAGTAATAGCAATGTAACATCTCTTTTGTTTTTCTTTCTTCAGAGAACCCACTGCAGATGGAGTCAGCAGTATAAACTACATAAACTTTCAGTATGCAGACTTGGAGCTTGGCTGCTCGAACAGCCCTTACATCAAGTGCACACCCAAACCTGATGCTTTTAACCCCTGTGAGGACCTGCTGGGATTCTCCTTCCTCCGCTGCCTCTCCTGGATCATCACCATATTTGCCATCACTGGAAACCTGGCTGTTCTCTTCATCCTGCTAGTTAGCCACCACAAGCTAACTATATCAAGATTCCTCATGTGCAATCTTGCGTTCGCAGATCTATGCATGGGGCTGTACTTGATGCTTATAGCCTTTATGGATATCCACTCACGTCATGAATACTACAACCATGCAACTGATTGGCAGACCGGGCCAGGATGTGGCATTGCTGGCTTTTTGACAGTATTTGCCAGTGAACTGTCGGTATACACGCTAACTGTAATTAGCCTGGAGCGCTGGCACACCATCACCAATGCCATGCATGTGAATAAACGACTCAAGATGCACCATGTGGCAGCTATGATGGGTGCAGGTTGGGTGTTCTCCCTCTTCGTAGCGCTACTCCCTCTAGTGGGCGTCAGTGGCTATGGCAAAGTAAGCATCTGCCTACCTATGGACATTGACACGCTTGGATCGCAGGTTTATGTTGTGGCAGTTCTTATTTTGAATGTCATAGCCTTCGTTGTAGTGTGCTATTGTTACGTATGCATCTATATAAGTGTTCACAACCCAGAGCACTCCACGCGCAATGGTGATACGAAAATTGCGAAACGTATGGCCATCTTGATCTTCACGGACTTCCTCTGTATGGCGCCAATTTCATTTTTTGCCATTTCTGCAGCTTTGAAAATGCCCCTAATCACAGTGTCCCATTCAAAGATACTACTCATCCTATTCTATCCCATAAACTCCCTGTGCAATCCTTTCCTCTACACCATTTTCACTCGGGCCTTCAGGAAAGATGTGTGTGTGCTTTTGGGGCGTTGTGGGTGCTGTCCGACCAAAGCAGACTACTACAGGTCCCAAACCATCCCCTCACACATCTCCAGTGCACACAAAACAGCCAACAGCAAATCACGTTCGCTCAGCTTCTACGCATATCGCTTGAAAATGAAGAATTGCTTTTTGAACAAAGGCACCACATGACTGTCAGTAGAAATACTATGAACTCAGAAAGGAGAAGCCAAACTGTTCATGTTGCATTTCATGTAATTAGTCAAGATGTTGAAACATGTTAAAGGGACATTTTATGAAAATCATGTATATATGAGGCTGGGGAAGTCATGACCAACCAACATTAAAGAGTAGGCCTGCAGGTGCTGAAGATAATGTGGGGCAGCCAGAAATGATTTATTGAATGTAATATAATTTTTATATTTTATTAATATTTGTGCTGCTATATAGGTTACAATTGTATGAGCCAAAAGATATGGGGATAAATGATTTTAAAAAGTTTATTTCTTGGAAATAATTGGAGTCTTTCAGTTGGCCAGTTGAACAAAAAGGGATCTATAAGCAGTAATAAAGCGGAAACAACCCTTCTACAAAGTGACATTTTCTGTATTATCTGGTATTAAAATAGTACTTATGAGGCTCTGAATTTTTTCTGCAGTTGTATATACATTTTAAGTTTAAGTTTTATTCCAGCAATGTGTTGGCATCCATGTTGTATATTCAAATGTATGTGTAAAGTGATCATATATGATGCTCTACAGAATTCTTGTTTTTCTATGATTTTGGTAAATGTGTCATTTTAATGTATGAATGTGATACACATCAAAAGTGGTATTAAAGATTTATACTATTGAATGATTTGTTTCTGGACAAGGTCAGACAAAAGACAGCAGTTAAGAGTCACTTAAACATTTAGTACAAATGTTTTCAAGGCTAAACAAAAGATACATATATTTGATTTTAGTTATGAGAAGACAAAACAGTCTTTAGAAATGAAAACACACTATCAGCTGTGTTGCAAACTTAAGATACATTTTATCATCAGTCAAGTTTAACATTATTACTGACAAAATTAAACAGAAAATTGCTACTTTGAGCAGATAAATCACCAGCATTTAAGGATTGTTTCACCTTTTAAATCAGTGCCTTCACTAAATGGACACTTCCATCTGATTTGGTCAATCGACTAAAGACCAGAGCCATTACCACTCTGCCTCTCCCACTGCCTTTGAAAACACATAGTCAATGCCTCCATAAGTCATCACGCCATCTTTCAAATGAAATTTCCATCGATTCTTACTGCGGTGGATCTGAAAAGAGCAAATGAGAAATTTAAAAATTCTGTACTCAGACCAGACCATCAAGAGAAAAGTGAATTATATTCTTACTTTGTCATACTGGCAAACAATCACATTATCGGTGTCAAAGAGGTCTGGGATGTCCTGTTCAATCACGTCATCACCTGAATTTAAGGGATCCTAAAAGCATAGAGAAAAGACACAATTCATGGATAAAGTCATTTAAAGTTATTCAGGATATAATAAGATTTATTTTTCCCATGGAGAGGTCATTTCTTTGCCAAGACTATTCCAGTATGGCATTAAACTTATCTCCATGGAGAAAAGCAAGGTACACTACCAAGCTAAGTCACAAGTGTGGAAAGGCGACCTCACTCGTAGTAAAACTGCATGTTTTTTCCAGGATTTTTTAGTAAAAAAAAGTCCCCACCCGTACACAGTGCCCCTTTCATTTACCCAGTTAATTGATTCCATTAATGCACATAAACAAACATTACATTTTTGGCAGAGTTAGGCATAACATTATCATTAAGGTCACTTCGCTTACTGTACCCATTTTGGTGAACAAACATTGCTCTGATAAACTTTCAGTGGAAAACGACTAAATAAACACTAAATTTTTACTGTGATTGGCTTTAATATTTAACTTGAAATGTTGGTGTTTTTTATCATAATCAAAACTAAATTTAATTGAAGAGATACTCAATCGATACTTAATCGCAAAACATATTCTTCTTCCTCATCAAACTACAAAAAAACAATAGATTTTCCCATGACAAAGTGCATTTGAAGTTGTGCTTACTCTTTGAAACTTTTTAAAATTCCTCTCAGTCTTACCTCATCCTCGTCATGAGCCAGTTCGTCTTCCACCTCGCTGTCGCTGGAGGAGAGGCTGTTGCCATCACTGCTGGCGTCTCCCTCCTGCAGGGCCTTTATAGCTTCTGCATTGATTATTCCCAAAAAGTCATTCTCCTCCAGAGCAGCCACTTCTTCGTCCTCAGAGTTGTCAACAGCACCATCGAGCTGCACAATGTCTGAGAGTGCGCTGTAGTCCAGGTCCAGCTAAACACAAATGCCACAAATATATACTAGTACGTTTGTAAAAGAAATAAAAGTATAACTACCACACTGTATACCAAATTATAACAAAATGCTAATGTAATTGTCAAACTTCAATATTCCTGGAAAAATTAAAGACATTTTAAAAAGGAATTAAAGATGCTGAGGAGAGTTTTGGGAGAATGACATCAGCCAGACATCTCACAGCAGTTTCTTTTGAGAATAAAGAGGCACTATGTAACTTTTCTAGTGAAGGGTATGCCACATGCTTGTCTTCATGGAGATGCTACTGCTTTGCCAAGAATGTTCCACAATACCATCTCAGTGAAAACAATCAGAAAAGTTAGATAGTGGATTTTTATGTCAAAGAGATGCAGGCCATTCTTTTGAGAAGCTAGACTAGAGGAAAACAAAAAATGTCAATTTACATGTGTGTAGTTTATGTAAGACACTTTAATTCAATGTGTGACTGATCTAAAAGGGAAACTTAAAATGCTGACAAATCTAAAATACTGCAACTCACCCCCAGGACATCATCTTTAGTTGGATCCAAGTTCCTGACCTTCTCCCTCTCCTTCTCGATCACTTCTTTGAGGAGGTCATCGATATCCGTGGTGTTTGCACTCATCTGGAAGTCTAGTAAATCACTGGGTGGTGCGTTCATACTCAGATTCACAGGCTGGTCACCGTCTTCACCTTTGATCTCTGGCTCTGGAGAAGGGGATTCTGGGATATCTGCAGCCTCAACACTTATAATACCTGGTGCTTCTTGTTCTTGAGGTGGGATAACCTCTTGAATTGGAGCTGGGTTGGTTTGGAGTGGAACAGGGACTGGTGTGGGATTAGATGTAGAAGTCTTTGTTACTGTGGATGGCGCCACCTCATGGACCGTAGCAGTATTTACTCGGACAGCTTGGGATTTAGGGGCAGGAGCAGGGACTTTTGGTGCAGGACGGGGTTGAGGCTGCTGTCCTGTTGGAGCCTGTGTAACCACAACTGGAACATTGACTTTATAAAGCTGACCTAAATATGCATAGAAAATGTTATTATTATTTGGGAATATAATAATAATGATATATATATATATATATATATATACACACACACACAAACATGTACATATATACACACACATATATATTTATTTACAATTTTTTTACCAGAAGCAGTTTGCAGTGTTACTCCAGCAGGAATTTGGACAGGATAGGCTAGACCAGCGGGAAGAGAAAAGGTGGCAACGGTCTCTGAAGTCGTCTGTCATTCAAATACATTACATTTTAGCCAAAAGAAAATGTGTGTTGTGAAGATTAGGCAAAACAGCAATTACCTTCTTTGGATAGGTTTGGACTTTCTGACTTGAGGGTATAACAACTGAAGCTACAAAAGACAAATTTGAATTGAGTATACATAAACATAAATGCATTGGCCTACTGTTGTTGTCCTAATGCAAGACGTAACCCATCTCCTCTCAGTCAATGTGGTGTGGGTGTGAGTTTCAAGGTCAAATTTTGTGATGGTTAGAGAGACTGTTGGAACACATTTCCACAAGCCCGTAGGAAGCTGCTTTTTAACAGTGTGGAGAGACTACTGTTGCGCTTTCACCAGACTGTCAAATTGGTAAAGTGCAACATGAAGTCATTATTATTTTTACATTACTAATATGACAGGTCCTAATTGCATTTCTCTATTGGTCTGATAGTGGGGCAATAATTTATATGCTTTAGTTCATCCATTCATCAACAGTTGTAATAGCCTAGACGACCATATTTTCCTCATCTCTCATTTACCAGTAATCTCTTGTTCATTCTGGGTGTAGCTGGCCGGGAGCTGCAGTACAAAGTTGGAAGAGTTGATGTTGTTTTTTCTGAAGTCCTCCATTGCTTTAGACTGCATCATCTTTGACTCCCAGAGCTGCACAAACACAGACATCAGACCCTCTACTGTGTATGGAGTATTCTCTTAACAGTCAGTGAAAAACTTACATGCTTCAAATCATCCAAAACACGGTCTTCAATGCCCTCGTCCAGAAAGAGCTCCCTCATGCTCTCTATGACATCGTCAATGATGGACAGGTACAGCTTAGCCTGCAGGTGACACAACAGCACTCACAGTAAGGCCCTTGTATTTGTTTAGAAACATACAAGCAAAAATACTGTCATATTGCATTTAACATTAATATTCAATTTGCATTCAAATGCACAACAAGTTACTTTGCCAACTTTATTTCATCTGCAGCAGGGCTGGTCACTGGTCGCCCTAATTAGTTAGCGTTAAAAATGTATATTGCTCATGAATACATTAGCATTAAGTGAGATAATAGAATCTACAGTTGCTGGTTACTAGAATGATAGATGTTGATTAACACTTCTCACCACTGGCCCCGTGTTTGTTAACATGATTCACAATCACAGCTGTTCACGTCGAAGCTCCTCCATGTGCAGCACAGACTATCACCTGCAGTGTGCGCACGTGAGGGGATCAGCGCAACAGCACCACCTGGAGGCGGAACTAAGACAACCAGCGCGACCATCAGCAATCAACCCTAATCAGTTACTTAATAAATTACTTTATTAGTTACTGAAACAAAGTATAACTACGTGTATATTGTTTGTGTACTGTTTACAATACATTGTTGCTTTTGCTGCTTGGCGATTAGGGTCACATGAGGACAATGGCCACAGGCCTAGAGGTTAGACCCATTTAAGCCATTGTACATTTTAGGGGAGTAAAATTATAATAGGTATAACATTAACAAAGAGTACATATAGATAACATTTGTCAGACACTTGGTCACTGTTGCTGTGATTATGAAATTAAATCTTATGCTCTTGGTTACTTCCACACTGAGGTGACCTGCTGCCACTTTGCCTCTACCCCAGGACTACAGATCGACTACAGACTACATATGTCACTGCAATAAGGAGCTAAAGTTAAGGTGTGACCCTTCCCTAAAAAGATGAAAATGGGAAAATGTTTACAAAAGCATGAAGCAGCAAATGTAAAGTTTTTGTGTTTTTTTTTTTCAGACAACTGTAAAAATGTTCAGAATGAATGACCAGGACAGAAAGCTTGGATTGAAGTTGTTTTACTGTATAACATAATATCCGGCTTAGCCAGCTACTGCATACATCAAGATCTTCACTTGAGTTCACCTTTTTCACCATAAAGCTTTACCATTATTATTTTTTTTTTATTATTTATTGCATCATGTACAATAGGCAAAACAGAGATAGAGATTTGATCTATTTAAATAAAGTTTACAGTCCTCCAGAGTAAAAACAATGTTCTAAAGCCACAGTTCCAGATGAGCAGCAAAAGTAATGAGTTTTGTTGAGACTGAAAACTGGGTTGAAATGCACATCATATCAGCACCACTGACCGTATAGATAAATAGTTCAGTGAGCATGATTAAATTCACTGAAGTTGGTGTTGTTGTTGAAGTTGTTGGTTCCATGAAAAATCGACTATTATTTGATTAAGCATATTAAGGCCAAACCATTCAATCAGTTTTACATTGTGTTAGGTATTTCAGTGTACTAATACTAACACAGTAAAAAAACACATTTCAACAATAAATTAAGCTTAATAACAATCAACATAAAGTGGAACTAATGTTGTGTGTGTGAGCAGCCTTTAACAGTCAATATAATGTACCTTTAAGCTAACAACACAACTCATTACTTCAGCTGTTTTTCTTAAAGAGCAAGTTCTGCCCACATCTCTTAAGGCTGCCAGTCAATGTGCAGTGCAGACAAAGGAAAGCTTATACACAGTACCCATATACTGGACTTACAGTCATTACACTATAAATGTAAAGTGCTAGGCAAAAGGAACATGTTAAACTGCTCATTAGGTCTAGACTAATTCAGTCTTGGTTTAGTTAAGACATAAAACTATCACATCTCCAACACTTGCGGGCTATGAATAGTTATAATGAATTATCAGATGCAAGCAGCAAGTCCCTCATCACCTCCCTTTTGTTCTTCCTTTTTGTTGAGTAGAAAATCCAACGGGAACAGACTTTCTTTAATCATCACTGTGTCATGCAGCCAGACTGCCTCTCCGACTCCGTCTCAATCCACTTTCTCTCCACCTCCACCTTGACAACAAAGAAAAGTTTATTTAGAAACATAACTTTGTTCCAACATTGCTGATATTTCAGACAAAGATCTTACTGAGGACTGAACTGACTGAGGGAAAATATCTAGTTATGATTTTTCTGAGAAGCATTGTTATTAGATTAGAATTTATGTTTTTATGAAGGAGCATTAACATCTGAGAGAAGACTGATACAAGAATCCCACATCTTTAACAACATTTTTGTAGAGATTCAAACTAGATTTTTTATTAATTTTTTCCTGTGGAATGTATGCTACTTAAATAAAGGCAGTCTTTGTGATTTACTAATTGCAACCATTTAAATAGCTATTTTTATATATCTTGCATCTTACTTGAACATGGTAGCGAGTCCAGCTGGTGATGTGTTTCTGCGGTTGGATGTCGTTGGTAGTGCCCAGAGACTTGACCCTGGTTTGTGACACTACGGCCCCCATAATTTCACATTCCATAGAGACAAAAGGGTACCAGTCATTAGGGATCTCCTGATCAGACCCCAGCTCCAGCTTACAGGAGAATGAATGGGGTTGGTCCACTGCTGCAGAGAGAGAAGAAAGGACAATTGTGATAGAGTGAGATCATGCATAGACTACAGTACAGTCCTCAGATATGAAACAATAACTGCATTATAAACATTAACATATATACACGTGGGGAATCCTTTTTCATATACAGACAAGCTACTCTCATGTGTTAGTTGCTTCTCAACAAACTAGTGTTGAATGATTATGAATTTGAGAAAGCAAACTGTGTGTACCACATGCTACAAATTAAGGGACTGCAAAAGATGTCACATGTCAAAATAAAATTATACAAGCTATTACACATAAGAGTACAGAGCTGTTGTGCATTTCATAGAAAAATCTAAAACATTATATTAAATAAATATGTTAACATCCAATCTTGTTAAATACCTGTATTTTTAGCGGGTAGTCTGTCGATCCTCCAGACGACTGCAGAGTACACATTCTCATATTTGACGGTTCCAATGGAGACCTGCATGACGGGCTGAGAGTTCACTGTACCTGCTGCTCCTAAACAGGTGTTTCTGTTCATGCGAGCCTTCAGGGACCTCTGCCGCAGTAAAGCCACAGTCTGAGTGACTTTGACCCAGTCTCCGGGCACTGGCACTCGGATCAGCACATTTTCACACAGGGGGAAGGAGTCACATAGGCCCATGCCTGAGCTGAGGAAGGCTGGGGACATGTTTAAAAAGGCCTGCAGCTCCACGTAGGCCCCCTGCACCGTCACCACGGCTTTCACTGAGAAGGGCGCTTCAGTGCAACCCAGACTCATGGTCTTAAAGCGCATCAGCTCCACTCGGCACGCGTCAGGGGGGGTGAACTTAACTAGCCGGGACATGTGAAATTCTGTCTCATTCACACATTTGTGAAAATGACAGTCAGCTATCTCCATCCAGAGCTCACTGGCCTCCTCTGACTCATAGCTGGGGTTATGCTGCTGTAGCAGCAGGTCGTTCAGAGCCAGAAAACATTCAGATAATCCGTTTAGAAAGGCGAGGCAATGGATCTGGGTGAAAGCAGCCCTTTCCATCACGTCTCCAGACTTGTCCAGTTGTATCCAGATGTGGTCCGTGATCTGCAGGGACAGCTCCTGCTCCTCATAGTGCCGCCTGGGCTGGTGGGGAGCACTGAGCTGAAATATTTCCTCCTCCATGGAGACCACCAAGTCTTCCATGTCATCGTGAGATGTGGAGCCCAGTTTAAGCAGCTGCTCCACCTCAGCCTCGTGGCTGACCTCCTGTTTGGGATGGAAGCGTTTCTTCTCTGTGTAGGAGAAGTGCTCCACCTTCACAGTCAGGACTTTACGTGGTTCTCCGTAGCTTTCTAACTTCAGCTCTGACAGCCGGCACTGTGGGAGGAGCTGGAACTCTTTATAGGGCTTCTCCAGTCCTTTCTCATAGTACATTTGCAGAACGCCCCCCGGCAGCAGCCGCAGATAGATGGGCCCCCACTGCCGTGAGGACATGCGGTTCTTCTTCTCTGGGATCCTGAGCATTACAGACCAACCATCTCTCCTCTGGCTCCGAAACAAGCCTCGAGGGACAAACTGACATGAACCATCACTTACAACTTCATCTCTGCAGCTCAGCCGCCTCTCTCCTCCTCCTCTCTCCTCATCTTGGTCTGCCTTTGCCTTCAGGCCTTCCAGTTTGTGGCACACGTAGGAGAGAGAGTTTTGGAGGTGGTCCCGTGGGGGTTCGCTGCCATCTTTGGTCCGGATAAAAAAGCGTGGTAAAGTATTAGAGTCTGTGTCTGAGTCTGAGGAGGAGCTGTCCACGTCCGCACTGTGCCTGGATGCATGCCAAAAGGGGTTATAGTGCCCTGAGTTTCCCTGGAAAGAAGGGAAGGGATTTGGTCCATCTGAACTTTGAGCCTCAGACCCAGGAGAGGAAACCGAGGCTGCAGAGGGGCTGGAGGAGAATAAGTCTTTGCTTTCCCATGAGCTGGAGTGAAAGGGGGATGCGCTGCTTGGGAGCCCGCTCACTGGAGTGCAAAGGGGAGTGATACATGGTGCAAAAGAGCTGCTGCTGAGGCTGGACTGAGGAGAGTCCAGCGAGCTGTTAAAGCTCCAGGAATTGTCTCTAATGGGAGGAAGTCTTAGTTTGAGTCCGTTGGGACGTGGCACTGATGCTTTGAGGAGGCTTTGTGCTTGCAGGGGTTTCTGAGGTGAGGCGAAAGGGGCACTGTCATCTTCAAACGTCACCCAGTTTGAGTGGTTTGTGGAGCACATGCTGACAGGTCCAACCAAGGTCGAACAGCCCCTTTATGCTATGTCCTTGTGTCCTTCAGTCTTATCTGCAAAAAATAAACATAGTTATTAAGACATGTTACCATAGAATCTTAATGAAGCATTGCAGAGTTTTCCTCATAACATTATTCACCAAGGTCAATTTAATATGATAACTGCAGCAAGACATACATTCGCTATCACTGAAGCAGAGGGCTGGAGTTACAGATAAGAAGCTGGCTTAGGTCTTTATAATTTAATAAAATCCATTAATTAAGAGAAAACGTATTTTTTATTATGGCTAGACAGCCTCCTATCATTAAGTATAACACCTCTCCAAATGATTTGATGAATAAGTAGCTTGGTGAGTAATTAGGGAGTAAAACTGCTTAATGCAATTTAAAAAACTAACTTGTCTCATGTGGTCGTGTTAATAATTTTGTACATTCAGTGAGATTACTTTACTTTATTATGAAATGTGTGCTCTACATTTGACCCATCCCATCTATCACTGTCACTGATGGGGCAAGTGTAGTGCAGCACCAAGGCACATCAGCCAATTTTGAGCTGGACTTGATCAGGATTAACTCTCGCTGGAGGTTTTTCCTATTGTGCATGTTTTAGGCTCTAGTTTACCAAAATGTGCTTTGTGTGTCAGCAGGATTTGTCAATACAATAAATCAATCCTGGGCATTACCCTGTTTGATTGGATATTGATTGGAGTTAGGGGAAAAGGACAGTATTAGAAATGAATGCTTGTATCCTTGTTTAATACAGATATTTTAGAGTCTCTTTGCTGAAAATATGTATACTACACATTTTATGTAATCATTAATTGAATGGAATATCTGTTTCACAAAATATACTGCACTAAAACAGCATTCATTGTTCAACCTATGGAAAGGTGATATATTTCATTGTCCACAAAACTAGGTAAACAGAAAAAGTCACTCATTAACAAATGGAAGTTTGAACGCAGTACACTATGACAGAGTAGCTTTTATAGTTCACAAGCATAAAGTGGGCACAAAGTTAAAATCCTTCTGAATAAAACGTTATGTATGGTATAGATTTACGATGGTGGAAAAAATGAAAAGTATTTAAATAAGACCACTCATATCTGTAGCATGTAGTTTAAGAAGTGGCTTTGAGATTTACACAATCTTGCCATTAATTATGAACGAGTCAATCATAGACTGTCTTTGAAGTGTTGGCTGCAAACTCTAGGTCTCTACGCCACATAGAAGCCACTTTAGAGCTTCATCCCACTATAAAAAAAAAAAAAAAAAAACTTGGGGGAAATATATGAAAGAAGCATGATGCAATTATATCCGTCCCTCCACACTTCAAAATCACAGCCAAAGATCCAGTGGCAGCTCTCCCTGCTATAAATAAACACAAGTATTGGGGGCGCTATGCTGGATTGACATGTCCTGAGAAACATTGGAGGACATCTTTCTAATGAGTGTTTGCAATGGCATGTACAAATAACTATATCTAGTCATTTCTTTCTGCTTGGTGGAAATCCTGAGGAAATTCTGTGAAGACAGGAGACAGGGAAGGTGGAGATCTCAATGGGGAGTCCAGGCTAGACCCACTAGAAGCATTGTTGTCCACCTCTTCCAGGGTTCCTCAGTAAAAAGGACTTAGTTAAATCTGCAGAGGACAAAAGCATACATTCCAGAAATTCCTCTGGGACAAGGGGCAGTCACACAGGAAATTCCAGCTTGCTCGATTTTTGATAAACTGTCAACAAATATTTAGGTAATCAGTGCATATTATGATTTATCCATAATTCTGCTAGTAAAAGAAATAAAAAGAAAGCATGTCAGTCATTCCAAACCCTAACCCACACACTATATCATCCAACTAGGTACACCTGACCAGACCTATGCCACCCTTTTGGGGGGGGGGGCATCTGTCAGTCTACTCCATGTCAGCTGTGGCTACATTAATGGGTGTAATGATTAGTATTATTATTATCATAGAACAATAAATTCTACCTTAACACTAGCTGCAAATAATGAACAAAATAAGAATGTAAAAGGTATGCCCATATTTGGTTTTGCTACCCTTTAAAAAGAATGTGGCTTTGGTTCCCAGAGTGAATGATGCTTGTACTATATCTATATGACTATATATTGGAAAAGACCTAACCAACAGTTCTTTTCTTGATAGTATGCTGTCTAGAGGTTGAAGTTCCAGAAATAGCTCAGAAAATGTCTGCAGGAGAGCAAGAAATTAACAATTGAGTGAATTAATGAATTATAAAAAGTCAGAAATACAATGGCATTGTAATGTTAATAGATTTGTGCATGTGCTTGTCTTTGTGGTTTGGTGAAAATGTTGTTACAGAATAAAACCACAAATGAGGAACAGTCCTGAGACAATATGGACAATAAGATAATAAATTCCAGTCAGTTTATGAGTAACATTGAAGTCATGTTTTATTTTAAAAGGTCTCTAATTAAAATAATCATATCATCATCACATGCTTCTAGTCTAAAATCCTGGTGCTAGAAAACCAAAAGCAGCGTTTAGCCACATGTTGATGACTGAGGGGAACATTTGTGGTGATAAAAATGCTGAAAAAGAGAAAATAAACTGAACTTTAACATCACATGCAGCTGCTTCCTGATAAAAGTTCCTGTTTTTTCCTAAATGTTTCCTGAAAAAGACAATAGTGAGGATCATTTTATCATCTTAATACAAGCCTATCCTAAAACAGGAAATCAGTGAATTGGCCATTCAAAAGTTTATTCGTGTCAACTGTTCTGCATTACAATAATATATGATGAGGACTAACCTGCTTTTCTAGTAACAATGCAACTTTCCAGTGGCTTGGAATTTTGTATGGGTTCATTATTTAACATTACAATACAATACAGATAAAAGTTAAGCATCGAAGTTGGTCAAAGGGAGATTCCTTTAACAAAATATTATTTAATTACATAAAATAATAACAGGACAAAGTCTAAACCTAGTGTAAACATTGAGTCACATTTAGAAGAAGCCAACTTCGTAAGCATAAACCATTTAATAGAGTAGGCTATAAAAATGTAGGCTAGATCTGATAAAGATGTAACAACAAAGAAAGTAGGTTACATGGCTCATACTAAAGCACCACCCAATGTTAATGTCTGCCCAAAATTGCAGAATGTCCAAATGATTTGAATGTATTGTGGTTCACAGAAATAAATATGCTTTAAGAAGAGCTAGCGTGTTATTGCTGCTAAGAAATTATGGGCAATTTACCAATGCAATACTAAAGAGCTTTTCTTAACTTAATGATATTCTTTTGAAATCATTGATTAGGTTTATGTCAAAAGGGAAACAAAGAGACCAATGTAGCCTAAACATGTTTCCCAGAAAATGAAAACAGCCTATAAATCTTCCAGTAGGCTACTTCCCATAAATCCCATAAAGTTACCATTTAGCCAGATTGCCTTCGGTGGTTTGAGCTTGTTTATTATCAGTTAATTACCATCTTAATTAGGACAACAGTTTAACTGAACTGATTCATTGCGGATTGCGTGCGCCTCGGGGTCGCTTCGCCGGTCAAATTTAGAAGAAGCCGGTGTGGGTAAACAACTGCACTTTTCACTCCCACGGGAAAGAAAACATCCACGCACGCCTCCATCATTCACATCAACAAATCCCGGCCCGTATCCCGAACAGAGAGGCCCATATTGGTCCGGAGGAAGAGTTATTGTTTTGATTTGTGAAGTCTGCGCAAAGTTGTCGCCGTGCGTAACTTTTCCTAGCTAGTGTTTGTACTAGCCTTTTACGCACGGGCCACAGCGATCACAGACTGAGAACGCAAACATTTAGGAAGCGAAAACATACTTCAGTGGTTTGCGCAGCTTCCAACAAGGAGCCTATAGTTATGCCAAAGCAACTCAGGCTACGTGGAAAGAGGAAAAAGTACTTACAAGCTAACAGGGGCCCGCTGTTGGCTTAGGTCATGACTCCCTGCTCTGGGTGCGCTTGGACTCGCGGCGTCGACCCGGTTTTCCTCAAAATGGCAGAGTGTAAATCCTGGGAGTTTAACAGCGGCGCAGTGGTAGCTTCCCCTCCCGAGTTCAGACTGTCCTCCAGCGGGTCGGGACACGGGGGGATGAACCGTCCCAGAGCCGCGCTGCGTTCAGGGGCGTAGGAGAAAATATTACCCAAGTCAACACACTACCACATACAGTCTCAGTCTTCATGTTATAATAGTACGTAAGCAGATGGATATCATTAGTAAAAGTACACAATAAACTTATTTACGCTTTATATTGTTATATTAATTGCAGTTCCAGTGGGTAATAGAAGGCCAACAGTTGACCTAATAGCTGAAAAAAGTGTTAAGGCTGTAATTACTGACTGGTACCAACTTTGAAGACCTATTTTGAACACCTTTAGTAACCAAATATTTTGTTGAGTAGTCTACTTTTTGGTCTAGATCTCCCCAAACCTTAACCGAAGTGTGAACTTTCAGCCAGCCTTAAATTTCTTAAGGCAAATCTTAAGGCAAACTCTTCCCTAAGGCATTTTGAATCTTGTATAGGTAAGGTAGCTTGCACTATCTATAACTTTTTTTAGTTTTTAAAACTGAACATTGAAGCCATATTAAACAAAAGCAAACATATCTTTCCTGTAAAATAATGATGACCACACCAAATAGTAATTCCATTACTTCTCAAATGTCCAGTTACACGGCCTTGTCTAATTTCCCAGTGGTTTGGGTGTGTTACCACACTGCCCTTTTAAATTATAGTTTTAAAATCCCAGTTTGATGAACCCTGCAAAAAAGAGGAACAATAATGGAGACAAACAGCAATGATCATCAGTCTGAAGTAATTATGAGATCTGCTCTTTTACATTGAGTAAGCATTTTATTGTTTCACACATGAGTTTATATGTGCTTTCCCAGTGGTTACATTGTAAAAAATACAAATATTGTTTTATGATTTGAGATTAGTGGCAAATCTTTTGTGACAAAAGATTTGCTGGCAGGTGTAATGGGCTAAGATCTGGTTACAATCTTTACTGGACTTTGCCCTCGTGTCTATACAAGCCATAGACTTCCTGGTGCTATGTTGTGACTCATAGACAAGTTACAGCAAGACAAAATGAAAAATCAATGGAAAAAAACACAGATCAAAATGCAAAATTTGAATGTTTTTACAGGTTTAATTTAACAGAGAGAACATAAAAAAATTGTAAACTCAGATGAAATGTCATAGATTTTCTGAAACTTTAGTGTATTTACACATTATTGACCCTTTTTGCTCCATTTATTATACATGATTAATTATTAGAAGCTACAGTGGGCTTTAGAGTGCACACATCTATATTTGAACTTTGGTGATAAAAACGTCTAAACTTTGTGTTCACAGAAAAGACGAGGCTTCACGCGCTTCGACTTGTCCGTCTGACACGTTAGTAAACTCAGTGCTTCGAGGCAGAAATCTTTCTCAACTTCAGTTGTATTTTAAAAGGAATGTGCACTTCATTTGTGCACTGTAAGAAGCCCTTCTGAGCAGCAGCTTGACATACACAGTTAAGCCAGTACTATTCATAACCTGGTATAGAATTCTCAGTAAGTCTCAGTTTTTTGCATACGTTTTGCAGTAAATCCTATACCATCTGTTTGCCACCACTTAGTGTCACAGTTGAACAGAAATAAACATAAATTCAGTATTCTACATTATTTTTCAATTGGTATGAATAATTTAGGCTTAAGTGTTACAAGGGGCTATTTCTCTTAGAACATAGGTTTTTACATTATTATTATTTCTTCAGACCATGACCATCGCATGAGAAAATGTCTGATGTTACAGTCAGAACACGAGGGCACACCAACATTGACTCAGCACGCGCCTCCCAATGATAAGAATGTCTCACACAAATAAAAAAAACAGTAAAACACACACCAATTAATTAGGTTTGGTCTTCAAGTTTTCAGTTCATCCATCTTGGGGTGTGCACTCTCAGATCATACAGTTTGTAAAGTTGTAACTGGTGGTTTGTCCAATGTCCAAGGGAATGGATAAAACATATTCAGTAAAAGAAAGCAAAAGTCCACACAGTTATTGCTGCTTGACAGGTGTAGAGATCGGTGCTTGTTTTCTTTATCTTTAGTCCTGTTTCATAATCAAGATGGCAGGATATCCAGTTCCAAAATAGTCCATGAAATGCCCAGAGAATAGATGGCAGTCCTAGCGACCTTTGTTCTTCTTGGAATTTGCCTACAACAAAACAAAAGTACATTTTAAAGTTCAAAATATTCAGCTATGCTAAGAAAGAAGAAGTGAAATTGTAACTTAGATTTATTTATAAACAAAAATAGGAGGAAAAATAGTCACTTCTGAGGCATATTACAAATAAATACAGCTTAGCAAAAGCTGTACTAAAGAAAATCTTTCTTAACATTTTTCTTTCATGTTTCATTTTTAATTTGAATCCTTAAATATGACTATTGCACCAGAGTAAGATGGTTAAAAAAGTCTGTACCTAAAATAGGATGCTAGCTAATGTTTTTTCAGAGATTTGTAAAGCAAACCTGTACAGTCAGCCATTTCCATAATTGCTCGTAGGATACAGTAAAGACTTGATGTGAATGGACATTTGCATTGTATTTGAAATGCACATTGTTAACATGATGAGGCTTGAAACTGATTCGTAAGAGAAAATAACCACGTTCACCAGGCGTGCCCCGTCCTGCCGAATCTGAGAAGCCCTCATCAGAGCAGGCACATGCAGGGACACGCGCTCTAGACGACCCCTCCTCTTCTCCCCACCAACATAATGGCTTTTTCAGACGCTCGGCAGGTGCTTTAGCCATCAGAGCTCACTACCTACTACCCAACATCACAGTATCACTATGGCTGTACTGTGCTGTGCTCCTCTCCGTAATGAACAATGTTAGATTTGGGTTTTTAAAAACATATATTTTATCCCTTTAGTTTGACTGTGATTTAACAGGATCTGACAGGTGGTGACTGAACAATTACAGAAATGAGGTTGGGAAGCTGAAATAAGATCAATCTCTTTTCTATATTCAAATATATGTCCTTCTTTTCATTATAGTAAGAGAGGTCATGAGTCATATTAAGCAACTATGGCAACTACGGGTACAGTACACCTTGGATAATGGCATCCATTCACTTTTAATTTCTCACTAGTAAAGCAGGATGTGTGAACACTTAAATAGTCAGTGGGTTTAAGCTTTTATAGAATGACCCCATATTTACTTTTTCACTTCACCCTTAAAGCCAGCATTAGGACTTGGAGCAGAAGCAGAGTCCTCTACTCTACTGTAATATACACATTTTTTGACAACTAAGAATAGGAGGTATATGTCCAGTAGTGTTTTAGTTCTGATGTAGTCCATGTTTTGACCCTGTTTAGTACCAATTTTGTAGCACAAATGTGTCCTATGCATTGATTAGTCAGCTATAGTAAAAGGGGGCAAGGCTTTGTACTGATAAAAAGTACTTAAAAATGTAGTAGTATTTACATGATATGGGAGTTCATGCATTAACAACTATGCTTTTTGAAGACTACAAGTAAGCATCATATTTGTATTTTAAAACAGCAGCCAAAATTCACCAGCTTCCATTTTAAATCCTTGTAATCCCACTAAAAGAAATAAGTCAACAAAAATGACTACAGTCATTTTCTCAACAAAGAGACTACACACTTTCAACACTACAGGAAATACTAAGGCTATAATGTTTAAAAAGCCCCAAAAATGCATAATACTGAATCTTTAAACAGCAGCTGAGTTTAACGGGCAGTGAAATACCTTGCTCCCCAGTTTTAGCGTGTCAATCTCCTCCCTCTGTTTGCTCAGGGTCTCATTCATGCTGCACAGGTGGTCGCTCATCATGCTCAGTTGGTCTTCATAGCTCCTCTTGGTGGTCGTCAACTCGTCCTGCATTAAAATAGGGCAAATATATACGGTAACGTTGTATAGTTATAGGCATAAGGCAGATGGTTCACAAGAAAACATGTAAAAACAACTGTACCTGTAGCCGCGTGATGTTTTGGTTAGATATTTTCACTTCTTCAGTCAGTGTTTCTCGCGACTTTTCTGCAAGAGCTAATCTCTTAGCTAAAGCACGGCACTAAAATGAAACAAACAGATGTGAAATAAAAGCTACCGTACAAAGACAGCTGTACTAAGGTTATCTTTAAAGGTGCGCTATGTATCTTTTCTGGAGGAGGGTCGGCCACCTGCTTCTCTCCATGGAGATATTTAGCTTTACCTTTAGCAGCAATTTTCCACAGTATGACATTAAATATTAACTGTATTTCCATGGTAATGACACCTCACTAAATTCTCCAATCCAAATTCAACTTTTTTCAGTCATTTATAGGCATACATTTTTAAAGATATTTTTTCCTAGGTATAAGCAACACAGTGAGTTAGTATTATGTTGGGCTATAAAACAGGGGACATTGATAAACTTGGTTGATCACCTCTGAGTGGAAGTGCACAGCTTTACTGTCAGAGATCTGGAGCTGTGTGGTGAGCTCGCCGACTCTGGTCATGTAGTGAGTCTTTATGAGCTGCTCCCTGGACTCTTCATCCCCCACCTGCACCCAAATACACACACAGACACACACATGCAGACATATCAAACACATTTGTTGTTTCAGTGCTGTGCTGTTAAATTAACTGTCATCCATTCATAAAACAGGATACCATTACTCACATGTTCTACTGAAGGTGTTGTGCACAGCATGCCAACCTGAAGACAAAAAAAATGTGTTACAACATGAATTACTTTAAAATGACAAATGATCAGTCAAACATACTAGGGGCCACACAAAAAAGACAAAATGTTTAATGATCCTAGAAAAAAATCAATTAATGTGAGCTTTAAGCCATGTTAGAAACCTCAAAAACATACCTGGAGTTGTGTTTTGTTTCATTTACACATGAGTAATAGTGCATTATCTGTCTACACCTCTAAAGGTCAAAGTGCTCTGTTACAACTCATGTCAGGAAGCGGTAGTTTTCAAGTTAACAGCTACCTTTTAGATATTGTTTAGTAAAAATTGGAAATTCCAGGGCTAAATTCTGAAGTGCATAAGTTGAAAAACACAGTGGAGTTCTGGCTGTATTACAGCATGACATCACAAGGTACTTACAACATAGATATGTTTGCAATCAATACATTCCAGATTACTTAAAGAATAATTCCAAACCAAAAAGATAGAAAAAACACAAAGAACACAATCAAGAAAATATTAGTTTACATTTGATTAATTTTGGTTGTGGATATTGTTTTAGCTGATAACAACTATTAGATATGTCTGTAACAAATCACCAACTAGACCACTTCAAAACACAACATACTGACGCTGCAGACTCAGTGCTGTGTTAACTCTGTCCTGACTTGCCCTTTCATTCAGTTCTGCCTCCTCAGCACATTCATGAACATCCAAGTTCCATTAAGCAAAACCCTGCTCAGCGTGGGCACTAAAGAATGCCAACACCCCCTGTGTAGCAGTGACAGATATATCACTCATCACACACACACAAAAAAAGTAAACAAGTAAGTAAACTCCTAAATTTATATAATTACTATCAATTACCCTAATTGTAGTTTGTTTTATAAAGTTTTATTTGTATTATCAGATGGTAAATGTTAAAAAATATGTTTACTTTGTGTAATTCACAATCTATTAGATGATTAGGCACTATATAATCAAGTTACATCAATCTGTGAATTTCAGGACCAGGCTTTTTCCGGTAGTACTTTCTAATCTTACGAAATAAAATGTAATCTAATTGAAATGTAAACCTTGTTTGCACCCAGTTAATACTGCTGGTAAGGATAAGTCTCTGTGGCCAAAGTGTATTTCTCCTTCATATACAAAGTGCAAATGTTCTTGAGACTGCATACATTACACTGTTAATCATTAAATAATATCCAGTTTAATTATAGATGACATAGTACAGTTAAGCAGGACTACACTTGAGTTACCATACCAGGCTGGTGCATAGTGTTGCTTCTTTTGCAGCCGTCTTCTGCCTTGTCTCCTCTTCTTGATGGTTTGGAGTTGTTTGTGAGTTTAGACTTCCACCGAGCGCCGCTGTCAGTTGAGCCTCTAGTTCTGCAATCCGTTGATTTTCTTTTTCTAATCTCACTTTGCCGAGTTGAGCCTCTAGAAGCCAATGCTCCTTTTCCTGCTCAAGACGTGCAATTTTCTCCAGACTCTGCTGCACCTGTCCAATAAGGTAAGATACCAGAGTTATTGGAATTTCTGATGAATGTTAAAACACAAGTATGCTAACAAAACAACATTTCTTAAAACAATGAAAACAGAATTGAACAATCAAAATCAAAAGTGTAATTTTAATGGATGCAATTAGGAAACACAATGGCTTAAATTTTTTAAAGTTTCATAATTTCCCCACAAATATGCCATCTTATTTTGCATAAAAAACTACAAAAGTTGTAGTTTATATCTGCACAAATTAATGCATTAGTTCGTCACTTCATATTTCAGTCTTTTTGTCAATTCTCTTGGACGTGTAAAAATGTGAACTCTGAACAGGATTCTGTTTAAAACATAAATCGCAAATCTAAGTAGCAATGTTTGTCAGAAAAATTGCACATAACATTTGATAGAAGACAGAAATATTTACTGTTGTAGGTCTAACCTTGAGAATATTAAGGTGTTGTACAACTAAATATTGCATGAAGACATAGTTTGTAATTTTTTGTGTTCATTACACAGCCCACATAATTGTGACCATTCAAATTTTAATTGATTCAACTGACTGATTGTGATACATGTCTTACTGTAAACTCTTAAGTTGGGTCCCCAACTGAATCGAGTCTTAGCCATTCTGCATTTGGGTATTTGAATATAAAAAAACAGCACAGACACTTTCCCTGGAGCTACAACATGAATGCGTTTGAGAAGAAAGTCTCTTGCCTGTTGTGCCAGTCCCTCTCTGCTCTCCGTGGAGCTGGTGAGGATCCGAAAGTTTGACAGAGCTTCTTTATAAGGAACAGACTGCGGCCGCGGCTGTAAAAACAAACCAGAGTTTACTATAAAGAATAGACCTCTCATTATTTTACACACGGAATGGCAGGTTTGAACCTTTCTGATGGCCTCCATGTATGCCGCTGCCTTCTTCTTGTGAGTTAGCATTGCCTCTGCCTGCAGCGGGTTGAGTGTGACAGCATTTCCTTTAGGGCCATATCCTGAAGATGTGAAGAAGTCCAGGTTGTTGCTAAAGAACGTGGCTATCTGTAAAATCAACAATTTAATTTCAATTAAAACTCCTCTCTGCTGCCCCTGTCACTTTAAATATCAGCATTTTGTTTAGACATAAATTAGACATCTGTTTACAGCACACAGATATCTCCAGCACTGAATTCTGTCTAATTACTTTTCACCAACAGAAACAAACTGCCTTAAAATATAACTCTGCAGTGTGTCCCACTTATTCAACACTGCAATCACAGCACGCACATCCAATTTTTATTTAATACAAAAGAGAATGGTTTATTTTTGTGGTGAGTGGGGAGCAGCTGTACAAATGGTGATTTGGAAAGTGTCTTTGAATATTTTAATGCTGCCCACCTGAGTCCTGCCTCTCACTTTAGAGTGAAACAACCATTTTTGTTTCTCAGTGGCAGTCAAAATCATCTGCTATTTGTAATTAAACAAAAACAGTATATAAAAAGCAGTCACAAAAATCCTAGTCTAAAAGCTGATCGCCCCCTGCTGGTCATACCTTTCCAGTGACGATGGTGAGCGAGCCCAAAGAGCCCACCAGGCACTCGGTCGTGGTGCAGAGTTTCTGTGTGACTGTGGGAAGTTCCTGTTCTAAGGCCGCCTTCTGGTTGTAATGCTTTGACATCTCTGAACAAACAAAATAACAAACTTGGAACACAATGCAACCCATAACATAAGATTTAAAGTAAGCCTTATTGAACCCAAAATTATATACACTGGCTAAATAGTCAACATTCATCAGAATAAATGGCTAGAAAGAAAGGTTTTGATTCACTCACCTTTAACAGCATCATGAACGCAATGGAGGAAGGCAGCCAGCTGAGTGAAAACAGCAGAGGTGCTGCTCTGTGGCAGGGCATCCTGCTCGACACCTGAGATCAGGGCAACAACTGATGTTACTGTGGCTGTTTTTTTTAACATCCATTCAATACATTCTAAATCTAAAATACTAAACACAATATGACATACTTGGTAAGGCCAGAAGTTTAATATAGTTCTGTATTTTGTCAAATATAGAAGTAACTTTCTTCATGTCTTGCTGCAGCTCCTGGTTTTTCACTGTAAGGGCAGCAGTACAAAGAGGAGCATCACACTCTTCTTCAAGGCTAAAATCAGAAAAGGAGAAATCAATCAAACTCGTCTCCTCACAGCGAGGGCTCTTAGCACCAGTGCACATAATACTGACCTTTTCAGCTGGTAAGGGAGGATCTTCTGTAAAAAACTTGTGTAGGAGGAGAAATGGTCTGCAAAGGGCTTCAGCTGAACCACAGTTTCCTTCAATGACAAAAATACAACCTCTCAGCATTTATAGAAGGCGACTGAAACTATGAAATAAATCCATCTCATATACAGATATGTATATATGTATCTTGTCTCACCAGAACTGTGACAGTGTCCTCTGTTATACTTTGATGTAACTGCAGAAAACTCTCCTCCAGGGGGCGCACATAGGCTGCATTTTCATGGAGGTACTGAGAAAACTGAACAAATCATGCAGGGGTTAGAATGAAAAATGTATGTCTTATATCTATTAAGTAATGACCGGTTCTTACTTTCTGATTAAGAGGTGAAATGGGCTCGATAGAGGAGTCTAAAGGGTAGATGTGCACCCGCTGTTCTGTATATGTGTGAAAGTTTAACAGAGCTGCCACCAGGTCCTGAATGAAGCTTAGGGCTTGTCCCGCTACGTCCCGCGCCTTCAGCTAAAAAACAAACACAAAAACATAACAGCATAAGCACAAACAATTAGGGTACATTTGAGTAAGTGCATTCATTTGTATTATACTTTGTAATGACCAACCTGGTGCCGTCGATTGTGTGGAGGCACATTTAGGCTGTTGTAGTCATTATATTCTAAATGATTAAACAGAAAGATTACTACCAATATCAAAAAGGTCTTCAGTATATATTGTAAGGTGATTTTGTCTGATACTTACTGGTGTCATTGAAGGGCACTTTCTCCTGGATAACACTGCTACTCTGCTTCACTTGTCGGTTAAGTTCAGTCTGACATCTCCTCAACTGCTGCTGACTGTAAAAAGAATAAGTTAAAATTTATTAACAAGTAAAAAACGCTCTGGTAAATACTACACAACAACACAACACACAAAACAACAATGCTATTGAATATTAATAAAAGTAAGGCAACACATTAAATGTCACTATAGCACATAAAATACAATAAAATTAAATCATATATAGGGTTTTTATTGTAATGAAATCACATTAAATTATATTACCATTCTTCTGTCCTCATCCTGCATTCTTTTGCTTCACGTTCCAATGTTTGTACTTTTAGCTGTTACCACAAAGAACACAAACTTATTAGTACAGAACCAAAGGTCCATCCCACTCATATTTAGCAGCGTCCTGGTTACCTCTAATCGTGCCTTGTCACTCTGCAGTTTCTCTGTGTTTTCCATGTATTTGGTGGTGAGTCCCTCCACAACAGCCTGGTGTTCCTGTGAGGCTCTCTCCAGCTCAGACAGTCGCGCCCTCAGCTCAGCCTCCTGCCTTCTGTGTTTCTCATCGGCTTCATAAAACTAAAATAAAGGAAAATATTGTGTGATATACAAACAATAAAAGCAGAAGTGCAGAAGTGTTGTGATATAAAGTGGATGTACTTGTATATGGAGTCTCTCATTCTCCTGGATCTTCTTCTGCAGGTCCTCGTCAAACACATTCTGTGTCTGCAAACCATGCTGAGATGGAGAGTCTCCTTTGTTCTATATTAAAAACAATAAAATAAACAAATCAGTTGCAAGATTCATAATTTATAACAACTAGAAGAAAATTATGTGAATCTTTTCGAAAGGCAGTATCCCATAACAACATGACAAAAAAACTGTCTTACTGTGATTTTAACACTTTATCAGATACAAATTTTAAATCAGTATCTGTATTGACATTTGTCAGATACTTAAATCATAGTTAATGCATTCACAGGTTTTAACACATTGCTGTTGGGTTGCCTAAATATCTTCTTACCTTCCCCTTTTTGCCTTTTGCTTCACTGGCAGCAAGTTCCTCCTGAAGTAGCTCCACTCTTTTTGCCAACTGTTGATTCCTGAAGCTCAGGCTGTCCATCTCCTGCTCCTGCTTTCGTAAACTTTGGTCTCTCTGCTTCAGTTGCTCCTAAACAGACAACCATAAGAATCCATATAAACCATTAACAAAGCATTTTGCATTGTCTACAGAATAAAAAACAACTGATAAAAAGGAAGGTACTTTACCTTTAATGAAGCCGAGTTTGCCTGTTCATCCACAACTCCCTTTTTGAGCACTTGGTTCTGAGCACGAAGCTGAAAAAGTAAAACACAGCAGCAAGGATTAATAATTATTCAAAAACAACTAAGGACTAATCAAACTATTAATATAGTTCACAATATTAAGTATAAATTGATCCACTAGGCTCTGCACAAGAATCCCTATGTGTGTGGACTTGTGTGTGTGCACAAATGGCAAATAAATTTCTTTATTACTTTTAATTCTAAGCCTGCCCATTGTGCTGTTTGCCATGTGAACCTATACTCCTCCTGCCTTTAAAATGCTCCTGTAAAAGACCAGAGAGCAGTTTTGTGTTCATTTGTTAATATGGGACCGTATGTAAGTAATAATTAATGTATTAAGTTTTGCAAATGTTTTGGATGATTTGATTGACCAATTTAAACAGTCCTGAAGTGTATTATTATTATTGTTATTATTATTATTATTATTATTATTATTATTTAAAATACATAAAATAATTAAACTTCAGTACATGATCTTTTTGGGTTTATCTGAACAGAGAGTTACAGAGTCAGCACTTCCTGTCAGTTCTGGAGCTCAGCTAAAGAACAGGAAGCAGCTCTGAACAACATCAGCTGACACATGCAGCCTCACCACAAACTGCAACACAGATTTGTGAGGTCTTTAATGTAAATCATTCATGAATTCACCACTTTGAGTCTTTGACAAAGCTGATTCACATGGCTCATAAAATATAGCAGCAGCAATTGGATAAAGTTAGAGAAGAACCACCAGAGGGGCACTCTGTGATGTCACTGTGGGCATACTCAGTATTTTATATAAAATGGAAAATATTTAACTACGTACCTTTGAATACTCCTGAGCCAGTTTGCTGTATTTAGTTTGGAGGTCTGTGACGTTGGCCATTGTTTCTTGAAAAAGTATCCCAGATAATAGATAAAACAGATGCACTTGTCGCAGTGAAATGACAAGCAAATAGTTCCCACGTTAAGCACGTTGCCAAGTGTTCTTCTTCACAGCATTGGGCAGTGTTCTTGGCTTTATCCGGGTTGGTTAACTGTCAATAACTCGCCAATTCAAGACTTCTCAATACGTTTATGACTACAATTTTCCGTTGACACATCATAATAAACGGGTCGGTAAAACTTTGAAAGAAAGAAACAAAGGCTGGCATCTGATTTAAACAAAATCGGATGTTTTTCTCAGATGACAGCGATTTAATTAGCGTTATTAGCCGTGACTGAGCATACGAGCTAACAGCGAACCGCTACCTGTCAAAACATACCCCAACAAGAGTCAAATAAAGCGTCAGGTGAAGTGGTAAACGATTACTTAATGTATCGCCAAATTAACAAATCAGCAACGATATTTCACTGACAAACGGGTATATATTCAATTATTTAGCCGCAAAAGAGCTCAGAGCTGCAGACAGAAGCGCCAGGGTGAGAGGTCATGAGAGGAAAGTGATGTTGTGGATTCCGGAGAGCGCCCTCTGCTGTGTGGAGATTTGGCTACATTAATGATGAAATTGTGAGACATTTTTATGTTGTTATATTTACTATGGCTATGATCAGTCCAGCGTATACTTGTTTATTATTGTATTCTATCAATGTATGTTCAAAAACAAAATATTGTTGGCACTAGGCCTACTTGCCTCTGCATTGTTTCACAATAGTCCATGTCTTGGTTTGGTAGAATTTCCCACTGATTACACTGTACTTATATATGAAATATCAAAGGATATATTCACAAATGTTGAAACTAATAATTTCTATTAGTGATAAGAGTAGACCCTATAACTCAGGTTGCATGGCCTGGATAGCCCTCCATTTTAGCATGTGTTAATAATGTCAAAATAAACTTGTCAGTGACAATACAAAATGTGCTGTTATGTATATAGCTATTGTCAGCTGTTTGCCTCTGGCTGTTGAAAATATATCATTAACTAAATTAAAATTCTGTCCAGTTTCACACAAGCTGTGACTTCCCCCTCCAACAGCTTATGTGACCTGTTTAGCCAGGAAGTGAAATGACATGTTAATGCACCCATTACAGTTCCAATCCGTAGATTAATGCATCATAATCCACCATGATCCACACTGGGCAGCAGTTATCAGAATAATATCTAGTTACAGTAGTTAAGGATGGCATAGAGATATGCATCATATAGGCCTGAGTGAATGAGGTAGAACAAAGACATATGGATGCCTGGCTCACTTTTACTCATCTTAAATGCACACAGGCGAACACAAACTCACTGCAGCCACAGCTCCAGCATTGTCTGGTTGCCTGGTAACTGCCGGCGTGGCGTGGGGCCGTGGGAGGGGGAGGAGATGGGGGGAGGTGATGCTGCTCTGATTTCAGCTGAATCGAGGCAGTGAGGGGAGAGCCCCCCTCTGTCCACACAGGACTCTATTGAACAATAGAGCAGTGCCAATGGGCCCGAGGCAGTCAGACGAGCCCTTGTTCAGGGTCACACAGTGTTCAGCCCAGTCCTCCATGACTAATTAACTTACAGCCAACATGTCGTTAGGACATCTGATGCTGCATCCATCACTGGCACATCTCAGGAATCTACGTTTAAGTGAGGTGTGCCCTGGCAGCCGGCCATGTCCCTGCATTCAAACCACATGCAAAAGAGAAAGGGCTGTGAGCTACCACACGTGCTGGGCCCAGCTTGTGTCGAGAAAACACAAGTGAACTACTGCACTTGCTGAGAAACATCGACCAGCTGCAACACGACAATGTGAAAGCTGAGAATCCAGGCACATGGAGCCAGATCCTCCAATCTCTGCCACTGTTAATCCGGTGGCCTTCACAGCGGGAGGAGACAGTGATCAAAAATGTAACTCATCAACTGTGACACAAATCCTATATTATGTGGAAAATCATGTTGCAATTTCTGAACAAAAGAGTGCATATGTGATAACATTTCAAATGCAGAGGTTGTAGAACACAAAAGCAACCAAAGTAACAAGAACAGGTTTTTATTAATATTTTGTAATACCATATATAATGCAATTGCATATCTTTGGCGAAAATAAATCTTATAAACATTTTATCAACAGAGGTTAGCATACAAAAACCAAAAGGTTGTGTCATTCAACAGACATGGCAGACAACGAACACAGACTGATACTGGGTTGGCAGCTTTGTCAAATGCAACAAAATGTACATAATCATCATACCCATGGTGACTGCAGAACTACATAATAAAATAATGAATGTTGTTGAGTAACAAAGTGGTTGTTTGCATTTTGTTTGATAAATTTGCAGATTAAGGGTCACCAATAATTGACAGCCTTTTTTGCAAGTGCTACTATCAAAAATGGGCACAGCTTATCTGTTTTTCAAAATTATACTAATAGTAACAAAAAGCAGCAGCCTTCTTTTTACCGAGTTTCAAATTATTAGCTTCAATATTTCTACACCCAACAGGATGCGTTAGTGGCAGTTTTCTTCGATAAAAGGTAGAGCTAATCTTTAGACTAGAGTCATAATACCTAACACAAATCTTACAAAAACAAGTGTAAAAATGATTAAATTATCTTTTAACAAAGGTCTACAGTACACAGGGAAAGCATCCATTTAAAATTTGATACCCCAGCTGTATATCCATTTGGCAACAAAAGGATTCAGGATAATGTGTTAATCAACTGTTTTCTATCAAGTTCAAGAAAAAGCTAAACAAACAACATAAAAACCTGGCAGTTATGGTTAAATTAAAAACAAATAACATTGGCAAAATACTCAATGACTACCATCATAGTGAAGGAAAAGGCATATTGCTGGAAAATAAAAACAGGGAGAGAAATATTGTATGTGCCTTATTGTAAGCCTTAATGATACAAGTTTGCATTTAATAACCCCATAAATTAATGTCATAAATAAGATGATGATTAACGAACAATAAATTTGTTCTTTTCACAGCTAAACAAAACCAGTGTATGCCAGAATTAACGACAGCTGCAGCATACAGCTCCAAATCTATAGCAAAAGAAAGAAACCAACAAAAAATTGGTTAAGTCACAGCTCTGAACAGAGTCCATCTCTCCCATTTCCTGTTTAAATAATTGAAATAATAATAAAAAAAACTAGGCCATTGTTTGCCTGAATCACAAGAACACAGTGATGGCGGGAAATACAGTGACGATGACCCTTGAACAGTGGCACAAGAAGAAAAAAAATGGCACCATTCATGCTTATAACATTGTTGTGGTTTGTGTCTAGTTTGACCCGAGGGGAAGAAGCAGTGTGTGCATTTCGTGGTACAGTTGTGTGTGTCATGGCATATTCTACACTGTGTCAGCAACTCAAAATGAGGATTGTGGCATTTACTAAAGTGGCTCGCAACTTCCCCTCAGTGAACTGCATGCAATCAGCTGACAATAAACACTCCATTTCACAGTGTGTGTAGAGAGCACTGGCTTCCTTATTTTGTTCAAGGAGGAAGAGGCCAAACTCTGCTGGTTTGTCCAAACTGTGCAACACTAGACTGGTTTAAACGACTCATAACAGCTTTGTGGCTCAGAGTTGTTGTTGTTGTGGTTGTTTTATTTTTTTTTTTTTTCTCCAGTCAGGTCACTATTCCTTCATGATTCTGATATAGGACAAGCACTTTGGCAGAGATCTACGCTTTCCAAGGACTTCTAAGTTTTGGGTTATTTTCCATTTTGTTAACTTTTAGAGTTTGATGAATCATTGCTTTCACATATTTTGGAATACCTTACTGGGTTTGTGCTCAGTAATTTAAAGGTTAGTTAGTATATTTTAGACTAGCCTTAGTGGCCACTTACTTGTACTCTTTTATAAGAAATGGTTTAGTCCAATCAAACTACTGTGAAAAGGAGATATAATGCCAGATTACTTGACAAGCATTTCAGATTTAAACCTGGGTTAACATGCAACACGCTGGCACAGAAATCCACGGAGAATAGATCACCTATGTCTGAACATCTGGCACGGTATACAGATGTTGCAAAGGCTAAACATGTGTATATGCTTTGAGCTTGCACAGTAAATGTCAACAACACACTGATTAATGACAGACTGTAAGTGGGTGAGCAAAAATAAATTAAATGACGTTCATTTAAAGAGCACTGGGATGGTCACATAAGACTGAGAGGAGTAGAAGAGCTGACTTTGCAAATCAATTTGGCAGTGGCAAAGTAATACCAGTTATAATTCTGAATAAAATGCGCTAACAATAATTAATACTACTCCATTCATTCTCTTCAAGTTAAATTAAACAAAAATTCTCAACTCAATATGCCACCAGAGTATTTTGAAAAAGTTAATGATGTGGATAGTAATTATTGCATCTCTCATACGAGGATTCAAAGGTCAAAATGTTCAAAAAACAGTGGCATCTTTAGCACAAAAAGGAGAAACTGCTCACCCCAGGAGGTTAGGTTTTGTCTGTTACAAACATGCACTCATTCGCTTCTTAAATAGATTCACTTGGAAGAGGATACAGGTTTTGAGGAGGAAGCATGCAACGCTTTAGAAAAAGTCCCATTTTCTTTTCAATCATCATAGTCTAGTAGTCCGTCAGAAGCAGGCAGGTCATTTTGGATAGGTATCTCCAGTGCCGTAACACTCACCCCCCCATTGAAGTTCGCCCCGAGTTACAAAAGTCTCTATATGGCTTTGCTCTCCTGTGTGAACTGTGAAACTATTGCCATTTGTGGGTGTTGGACAGGGTTATCCCAAACAAAACAGAGGCTGAAAATGTCAGGTGAGCGATCGGATTAGGAGAAGGAGGCACACCGGGACAGGGGGCAGAGGTCAAGGGTCACACAGGAGGTGGAGTCTGATGGAGGTTAAAAAAAATTTCATTTTCGATGGTGTTTTGTGCTCTTGCGTTTGGAGCCCTCTGTGCAGCTGCGGATCCCGGCCAAGTGTAGCAACGATCCGGCGGCCTCCTTCAGCTCCTCGTCCAGCTCCACCTTGATCTCGTGGCGTGCCCGTTTGCTGATGGGCCACTTGATGGGGGCGGGGCGGCGCAAGGGGGGCAGCTGCATCCCCTTCTCGTCCCACAGGTCCATGTCCTCCTCGCTGTGGAAACCCTCGCTGCCGGCGCGGACAGACTGAGCACGCTCACAGCCCTCTTCATCTAGAGAGGAGAGTGAGGAGGAGGAGGAGCGGGACGAGCAGCGCTGTAGGGCCATGCTGCTGTAGTTATGGTCCTGCTTCGGGTCACTGCTCACCAGCACCGAGTCTGGGCGGGACAGGTCCAGAGGGACATCAGAGTTACCTGTGACAGAGGTGAGATTAATACAGCTACAAGGATATCTCTCTTACACATTTACTATTTATGGGTTTAAAGCTATGGCAACGCTCCTCCATCACAATTAAGATATTCAAATCAAAATAATATATCTTTTGAATATTCAGCTGAGGAAGGAATCATTTGCCCAAAACCCACAAATAGTGTTCTAAAAAAACAACTAGTGTACATACAAGTCTACTAAGCCTTTAAAAGCATGTGATTTTAGTAATATTAGTTGGTTAGGCTGACTTGGCTAGACTAACTATCCAGGAACAGGAAGAAATCACTGTAATATTATTTGTTAAGAAAATGAAAAGGTTAAATAGACAGAAAAGAGGTTAGTTAGATGCCGTTCACACCTCATTCTTCCTCAAAACTTTAAGATGTTTAAAAAGGAGTCAGATTACTTGTGCATCAATACAAAACTGAAAAACTAAAACTGGATTCAGTAAGATTTGTTACATTTATAACTAGTCCATATTAGTACAGCAGTAATAAGTCAAAAGCAATGCTCTTGAAAGCTATTGATTCAAGAGAGCCATCCTCCTTTGGGAAACATAAAACATCATAAATCAGAGCACAGACAGAAAAGCAGATTTAAGCAATGGGACAGTGAACACAAAGTACAGGTGAGCGTATGACTGCTGGGGTGTTCCTTACATGGGTCAACGTGGTGCCCTGGGGCAGAGTTTAAGAGCATCATGGCAGTGGCAGCATCAATGTCAGACTCTGGAAGAGGAGAGAACATGCACCATGGTCAGTCAATGAGGGGCCGGGATAACTAATGTGAAAACGTATTACTCTATAACAATTTTAGATCTAGCTCAGTAGTAGGTGTACAGGCATGTTTGGTATATTTTGGTTGTAAGTAAGTTACTTTCTTGGAAGATCAGTGGGTATTTAAAATTAAAACATTAAAATATATAAAATATTACTGACTGTGAGTGAATCATTTAAATAATTTATTCTAATCAATCAATTGTTAAAATATGTTATAAGCCACTAAACTTAGTTAATAATAAATTACCAAATAAAAAAAAATAAAAAATAAGTAAATATAATAATAATAATAATGATAACAATAATACATTATATAATCATTTTCATTTGGGTTCACATAAGTGAATAATAAAAACACTATTTTATGATATTGTGTCTAGATTTTTGCACCTATATTTTCTAAAACGCTAATGCTAAAAGTGCATACACTGCCTTCGAAGCTGACAAAGTGTCTAGGAGCCTGGTATAGCTTCACTTCTGGGTCTCTAAATTATTAATGATTACAGTGAGACTGAGTGCTCCGGCAAAAACCTCTGCCTGTCGTCAAGGTTACAAATCCGAGAGGCAGAGGCTGAGGACGCTGCTCTCTCTCCCTCAGTCATGGTCTACTACATGAGGCATCGATGACTTGAAATAAAGCAACGTCCAAACCAAGGCCACAAAGATGCTGAATGTACTGAATTATGACCAGGCAACACAATCAAATACTCACAAAAACACAAAGCAAAAATATAAAACAGCCAGTTTGTAGAGAAGCAAAAAGTAATGGTCCATTCTCACCTTTAAATGAGCAGCTTTGTAGAAGAAGATGACGAGGTGGTGAGGAGGCACTGAGAGAGACAAGAGAAAAAGGATTTAGAGTTAAATTGAGGTCTGCTGTTGCTGCGTTTAGCCGCTTCCTTTCATGGGTTGCCACGGTGAATCATCTGCTTTGATTTGTCCCCATCCTCTGCATCTTTCTCTCACACCAACTAACTTCATGTCCTCTTCCGTCTGCCTCTTGGCCTGTTACCTGGTAACCATCATCAGCATCCATCTTTCTGTCTACACATATATTCACCAGCTCTCCTCTAAGACAAAACTCAGTCTGACTTCTTACTATATTTCTAAAGTAACAAGTAACATAGTTCCTTATTAATAATTGTATGTTGTTTTTTATTTATTATGTAATTTATTGCAGCCAAATAACTTGTTCTCAATGAAAAGAAAATACAAAGTCGGTCAGCCTGCACATTCTAAAAAAAACTATATCAACCAATCTTTTCCAATCTTTTTACATGAGAGAGATTAAGATTAAATATAGGTCATATATATCAACATTTGTAATCTACAAATTATATGAAATACCATAATTCACATGAATGAAAAAATATTTGTGCCATCATAATCTCCCCAGAATCAACTAAATCATCAAATTTTTTACTAAATATAACATCAGTGATTGATTGATTGATAGCATTTATATAGCACCTTTCAAGATACCCAAAGCGCTTTACAGTTCATTATTCAGTCACTCCACACTCAGTGGTGGTAAGCTACTACTGTAGCCACAGCTGCAGTAGTAGCTTGCACATTAGAAAGTATCTTAATAGTAAACAACCCACTTGGTTGCCGAAAAAGGAAAAAAAGATTAATAACCAGAAAACAAAATGTATAAGGGAACATAAAATATGCAAATTTGATTGACAGCCCTAAAATGTAAATACATGTTGTTGTGTGTCTTATATTTTGTTACTGTATGTCTTATGTTTATTTTGTAATTAATGTGCTGGGTATTAATTCCCTCAAAATGACAAAAATTATATAAAAAAAACAAACAAAACCCACATCTGAGCACAAATAGGCAAGCACTGATTCTCTAAAAATGTTCACATACGTCTTGAGTCCAAAAGCATACAATATATTAGTTTTGACAAGTGCCTCCCTCACAGCCTCTCTAAGAAACTTGACACTAATTCAGAGTAGCACATGACTCTTTTCCTCATAAAAAGGTCAATGTCTAACTAAGAGCTTTTATTAGATAGACACTAGTAGACAGGGCTTTCATCCAACAGTGGGCACATATGGTCAGTAAAAAGCAGATAAATTGAATAATTCGATAACCAGATAATTAGATCAGATTTTTTGAGTTTGTTTAGATGCACACAAAATCTGATAATCAAAACACCTTTTGGGATGTGTCTGCTAATTAATTGATTTTTAGAATAACAGGTGCATTTGGAAAAACTTGTTCAAACTCTTTAAATTAAACTCTCTTTAAATTTTATATTTTGCGTAATTTTCCTTGTCAAAAGGAACAGTCAAAAAGAAACCAGATTACTTATATCAGATAAAGTGTGACATTTCAATTATCTGATAACTCCAGAAATCTGATTTTGATCAGATTTTTGTAGTGCATATGAACATAGTCAGTGCCAGATACTTTACTGCTCATTAGTTTACTATATTAAAACAATGTAAAGTTACTTTGCCATAGCAAAAAACATCTGGATGTTTACCTGGGTGGGGAGGCAGGAGGTGTGCAGAAGGCATGTGCGGCTGGGAAGTGCTGCTTCTTCAGGGCTTGGATCAGGTTCGGGCGGTACTCTGGATCAACACACCACAAAGAGCCTTTCCCATTGGCCTGGAGGGAAAACAGTCACACATGTTTGCAGTTCATTAAGATTAAAATATCACCGTAATGAACACAGTTAAAAAAAAAAACTCATGCTTGATCTTAATGATTGAACAACTGCAACCTCTTCAAACATGTTCTGAAATACTGAAACACATCATTCAGATAATTTCTAATTTCCAAACATATTACCAATCGTTCAGCCCTAATAGACCAATTTTAATATCTGTAATGTCCGCAGTGAATTCCATCATAATATCTATCTATAAGTTCTTAATGAAGCCTTAAAGGTGCTATGTTTTTCCAGTGGAGGGTCCAACAAGTCCCTAGCGATGGTATTGCTTTGTTGTTCCACAGTATGGCATAAACATTTATATTTACAGATTAAAAAAAACAAGTGACAAGTTTAGCCAAGTTACAGGTCAGATCTGTGAAGAGGCGACTCCATTCACTGTAAGAATGCACGTTTTCCCATTTTTTTCTTACATATTTAAAATAAAGCCATACTGTGTAGGGGTGTGGAAAAATATCGGAATATCGATATATTGTATCGTTTAATGTGATGACACAGTATCGATATCGTGGTCTACTGTATCGATATATCACAAAGAGTATTTTTAGGTGTATTTTACTAAATTATTTTGTTACAGAGCTACAGTTTTGTTGCTTGTGGAGTGAAAGGAAGCTCATTTATGCAACACATTTGACATTTTTAGTGTTTTGATGATTAAAATGTTTGTGTTTCAGATTAACTTTGCACAAGAAATGGTTTAATAAAGACTTTTAGTATCACAGCCACGATTTAGCCTTTATTTTTTATTGAACCGTATCGAATCGATATGAAATATATCATATTGAATGGAAAGTGCACTGTATCGAGGTATGTATCGTATCGTGGCCTGTGTATCGAGATATGTATCGTATCGGCAACTTCTTAATGATACCCAGCCCTAATACTGTGGAATATTCTAGGAAAAGCAAGAACATCTTCATGTGGCAAGCAGATGAGGGACCCTCCACAAGAAAAGTTACACACTGCACCATTAAGTTTACACAAGCAGAGAATTCTAATATAAGTGACCCATACCAACCGCAAATATGCTGTGACATACACTTCACCCTTTAATACCCTGTAACAACTCAAGGCTGAATTTAACTTTAACTTTGATTCATTGTGACAACTGTCAAGTACAACTTTTTAAATTTGAATAACATTTAAATATGAGTAATATTTTCCACTATGCCAAAGGAGGCTCTAAATGTCTCTACTGGACAGAGAAGTGACAAAGAATAAAATTGTGATTGTTGAATTGCTCGGCAAAGGAACAAAAGGAGGAAACTGTGACGTCTCAGCCCTCACAGCAAGCACTCATTTGTTGGTGTAATGTGCGGGAGTGTGTTAACTGTCACTTTATCTGATGGCAGAAGTGTACTGTGCCCAGTGAGGGTGGAGAGAACAAGGAGGGAGGAGAGAAGTAACCTTGACTCAGATTACCCACAAGCCCCCGATGCAGGAAAGAGGAAACGTCTCCATGGCAACGCAAACCACCAGCAGCCAGTGTCATGTGAAAATGTTTTCTCGGCTCATGTCAGGCTCATGCTGTGCACCTGCATGCTGCCGTGGGGGCTGGCTGAGCGCTAACTGCCATCCGCCCAAACAGAGGCAGAGCACCAGGTTTGAGGGGGCACAGGTCCAAACTCACTACAGCTCCAATATGGAAGCCATCAGGGCACTGCAGGGACATGGGTGAGTCATGCACAACTGTGTGGAGAAAAGGCAACTCTGGTCTGAGCAAAAATAAAAAATAATCTAATATTAATAAAAGGTCAATTACACAGCGCACCTTGCCCAAGTTTATATACAAACAACCCTAAGAAAATTGGCAACATTTGCATCTAAACTAAAACTGTGCCAGTGAAACCCGTACTCTAGTTTCAATATGAGATGTTATTAATAGATATGGAAATAAATTAGTGGCATGATAATCTGGTGGTTGTTGGTTTCACATATGGAGAGCTCTGTTCCGACATCAACAACATGACGTGATGTCATTTACCAGCTCAGGCAATTTGCTTTATGTCTTTCCCTGTTCTTCACCCCCCCACTTTCCTGCCTAATAAAGTATACATGCAAACAAAAAAATAAAAAGGTAATTTGTATTTTGTCATTATAAACTCAAATTAACTAAAAAGAATGCTGAAAATACTTAATGACTATAATTTGTAAATTATGTATTAAAAACTAGAACAAATTTGA